GGTCTGACCCCGTGAGCGGTGCTGCAAATGGGATCAACTCTTTGGCCCACTCGTCGACCCGTTGGTCATCGGGCGCAGAGCCCATCGCACCGCCGATGACTGCACTGAAAGACAAATATTGGATGACTAATACCCGACTGTCCTCTCCTTTTCCGCAAAGGGCTCATACTTTGTCCACCGGATCGGACGGTAACGGTAATCATTTTGTGTGATTACAATTAATTTTCATTTTTGTTTAAAAAATGTTTTTATTTGAATGAATGAGAAAATACTACTCTTTTATGCATTCATTGAAAGCTTATTAAGGTTTGAGTGAAAAACTCGTCATTAAAAAAAAAGTCTCGCAAACGTGTGCTGAAATGAAAGCCCTTTTGCTGTGCTTTCGCTGCAATTGTTTGATGTGTTTTACGGTTCAAACAAATGCCGACTTTTTTTCTGCACTTATTTTTCGCAATTGTCTTTTCATTTCCTGTTTTGCACACAAAATCTTAAGTTTTTAAACAGTGTATATATTCAAATAATTTTTAATAATGAATAAACTTTTTCTTATGTCTGCATTTGATACTAACTTTGATTTCTTAGACACTGACAGCAATAGCTGTGGAGGTAGTGGTGCCGACTCTCTATCGCCAACTATGAGTCCCTTTGGATCTCCTTCGAAGTATTCGCCACTCCATTGGTCTCTAAGTCGCGAAACTTTCGCCAACACGACTGTCCACTCGGCGCCCTTTAGTTCATATGTACTAATCGTTTGTATAATAGTATAGTATTTATAGTGTAAAGGTATTAATACAGCAATCATTTTAATACTATTAATTGTAACACAGTTTTCGGATGATACTATTATAGAATTATACAAAATTAGCTCAAATATTGAAATAAAAATTATATAAATAATTTCATAATTTGATTGTTTGGCTATTTTTATTCAAGTATAATATTCATGCGTTAGTTTTCGCAAAAAAACAAACTTTTGTTATCTTTTTTGGGGCTAATCTTCTTTTCATTGTAATACCTGTCATATCATTATTAGTTTATATAATAATTTATTAGTCAATAATAACTATAGAGTATATTATAGTATTATAAATGTATATAACAGTCATAACACATAATATTTGAATATAATATATATATTCTTAAGAAATATAAACATTAATTTGTGTCCATAAACAACAATTTAAATAGAAAGAAATTAACACCTAATAAATGATAAAAATATTGAAAATTAAAAGAATAAAATACATTAAATTGTGAATTTTGGTGCAAGCTATTTTAATTAGCTCTTATTATAATTAAAAAACACGATGAGTAATGATAAAAGGCTAATATTGTACTGTAACTAATGCATACATACAATTTATACCATTTAAAAAATAACACACATTTCAAAAAATGTAACTCAATATCGGTTTGACATGAATTTAAAATCTGATAAGACTAATGAGAATTAAACAAAAATCTTTACAATACTGATCATTCAAGTTCATTGTGCGAAACCAATTAAAACTCAGTTTCAAAAAACTTTATTTCATTATACAAAACTTTCAATTAACTTTAACCTTTCAATTGATTTAATAAATTATTTATTAAAATGAAACCATTTCTTGCAGACATTCATTATTTCATTTCTATAAGAGTTCCGGATTAATGAGAAATTTATCTGAAATAGTGGTCTAATAAAAGGTTTTAATTTTTACCGGTTTTTGGAAAGAGAAGAAAAAATTATATATTAAATGAAACTCTGCATAAGTTAACGGATTTAATGTCAGAAATATATTTGATATTAATGATGGGAATTGCAATTCTTTAACATTCAAAGTTTTATGTAAAATTAGGATAAAATTTAGAAATTAACGAAAGCATTCAGTAAATGGAAGTCCTATTTACACACTAATCACATCAGACGTAAAGTATTTAATTAAAACAATTTTAAAATAAATTCTTACCCCTGAAGATAACGGTTCCATCGGTGAGAAGACACATTGGATTTAAGACAATCCACTTATAAATTGATAACAATTCAACAAATATTTGTATTCATAGTAAAAAGTTATGAATTTCTTATAATCATTTTTTGTGTTACGCTTCGATTGATATTAAAAAATAAACAAATTCTTTGAAAACTATGAAAAAAATCCGTAACTCTTAACAAAACTGTAACAAACAGTTGAAGAGTAGGACTGAGACTGAGAGCTGAAGAGTCGATGAGAGAGAAGAAAAGAAGACAAATAAAAGGCGGTCTCATTGGAGAACATCTCTCATACACAACAGGTTTGGTTGAGTTCACCAGCGGTTGAAGGAGTCTTTTCCCAGTCTCTCTCTCTCTCTCTCTCTCTCTCTCTCTCTCATAGTTTTGCCCACTTTTTTGCGTTCAGTTTTTGCGAATACGAAAGTATTTTTAAAACTAAATTTAGAGCGCATTTGCACCTGTAGTTCGTTGTCTTATTGGATGTAATTTATAAATTTTATTTAACCTATAAATCTATGGACTAATATTCAAATTCTGTTTTCACATCAAGTTTTCATTCTCGAAGAATATCTGCATTACAAATGAGACACTCATTCAATTCAAGGCATCGTTTTATTTACAGTATATAAATAAAATAAATATTTATTTTTTAATCAATTTTTGCTTTTAATTACAAAAATTACATCCAGTTGACATTATAATCATAATCATCACAAACTCTAAATTAGGTTTTCTTATTCAAGTATAATTATTGCTCTAAATAATCCAAAATAATTTTCACTTTAAAAATCTAAATTCAGTTTTAATTTCTTAAACAAATTTCGTAATCAAATTTAGATACAAAAAAATGTTAATTAAAAATTTTTAAGTTTAACAATTAGTAATAATATTGAAAAACGTATCATATTAATGAATTTGTGACAAAATTAAATAATAAAGATTTAAAGTAACTTTAATGTAGATAATGATTATCTGATAATTGATTCACATACTAAATGATTAGTAATTAGGGATTTAGAGCTTAACATATAATTAAACAATTAGATCGAAATTTAAAAAACTAAGAAATGGATTAATTGATTAAAAAAATATATACTAAAAGCATGCAAATTAAGAAACACAGCAAAAAAGACAAAACAAAAGTCAAAATTAAATACAATGAAAGCAATGATTGAGAGATAAGCATAAGAGGTGTCCAAACGGTGCGAACAATACTCGACACGAAAACCACTCAAACGTATCGCTTCTTGCCGTCAGCCGAACGACCATTTTTGAGGACTTTGATGACCGATGGCTTGTAGTCCTTATCGCCCTCTTTATTTAGCGGACAGTATCTCAGAGTGTGAGCGCTGTCTCCGCCGCCGGATCGGCACTTTGGACAGTCGTAGTTGCGGAGGACGGGGCAGACGGTGACGCCGTTCGGGTCTTTGCAGACGTGAGAGTTATACATCTCAGGCGTCTCGTTGTTGTTCTTACAGAACTTGCAGTGGGTCTCAGTCTTTATGCGTCTCTTATTGCGCGAACGGTTCCCATCGCCGGCCACCGTCTCCTTCAAGCGCTGACCGACCGGTGCAGTCAACTGTGCGTAAGTAAAGCCATTCTTACCGAACATTTCGTAAGATCGGACCAAATTGACCGCCGATGACACGTATCTGATCACGTGTTTAGGTGGTGCCGCTCCAGCGCTGACCACATCGATGGGCACTTCTTTGCCGTTCGCCTCAAACTCAATCCGAATGATATCCTTATTGTCGGCAAATAGGGATCGACTGATTGTCTCCAAAGTGGGCGCCGAGTGGACAGTCGTGTTGGCGAAAGTTTCGCGACTTAGAGACCAATGGAGTGGCGAATACTTCGAAGGAGATCCAAAGGGACTCATAGTTGGCGATAGAGAGTCGGCACCACTACCTCCA